CCTCGTAAGGGAGATGTGATTTCAGTTCACATTCATAACCCAAGAGGAGCTACTCAAAGCAAAGACTGAATTCCACGTGGTGGAAAACAAAGGGGAGAAAAAAATCATCACCTTCGTAGTTAATTAATGAAAGAGGAAATCATTAACTGCGGATCCAATTCTGATAAACCAGAATTAGTGATTAATTAGAAGCGCTACTCCCTAATTGGATCGGGGGTGACAGGGGAGGGCAGCCCCGCTGCGAGGAGCGCTGCCCTCTGGTGGGCACCAGGAGAGCTGCACCCAGAACCCCGGCTTTAGACACGAACAAGACAAAAAACCACCCAAACCAAAACAGAAAGTTATTTGCTAAAAGCGTTCTAGGCCCTTTTTTTTGGAGCTCAACACAAGGTCTCTCCCGCGGGGAGTTGTGGGGGCAGTGGTTTGCAGCAGGATGGTCCTTACCAGCCCCCAGGAACAAGGTGGACCATAAATTAACGTTCAGCATCATGTGATTGGAACCCGTCTGGTAGTGAGCTCTCATGTGGTCCTGCGAGACACCGGTCAGCCCATCCAAGGTCAGCGACAGCAGCTAGGAAAAGAGGAGCTGGAGATAAGAGACAGCACAAAACCCCTTCATCCTTCATTTCTTCTCTACAGGGAAGACCTTGAGCATTCTCCTGGTTTTTTTGGTTTATTTTTACATCCCAATCACCTATTGAACAGCAATTATGTGGCCTCAAAACATACACCGATGCTCTGATCTCGTGCTCCAGCTTGAGAGCACACCCTCAAACCTTGGTCTCCTCCTGCCGGGGACGTTTCCACATCCACGCTCAGGGTACAAAGGACGTGGCCTTATCTGAGTTGGAACTGCTGGTTCCAAAACTCAGCCCCGCCGGGTGATTTCACTCACCAGGAGGAGCTCTCCGTAGCCAAAGACGTGGTCATCGCTGCCAGCCCCCTTCTTGGGTTTGTAGAGGAACAGGGCCACGCCTGCCACTATCAAGAGGACGCAGAGATACTTGGCCGGGGGGTACTTCTTCCGCAGGAGAGTCACTCCTAAGAGCATGACTGGAAAGAAGCAACGTCACAAACCGCTCCCCAAAAAACCTCCTGGGATTTTAACTGGGCCCGACAGAAACGAGACACGGATGAAACTCCGTTTGCTCTTCCCAAGGGAGAGCGGGCAGAGGGGGAGAGGCAGGAGAAATCCACACAAGAAATGTGGAATCTGCTTACCTGGGATGGGCTTACAGGATTTGCCGAGGACCTAGAAAAGAAAGACTGGATGAATTATTTGCCCATCATCCCCTGCCCACAGAGAGAGACTGTGACAACACCAGGGTGACTGCAGGGGACCGGCGCACCCCAACCCACCCCTCCAATACAACATACCAGATACTTCAAAAAAGCTAGAGGATTAAAAACCCCACTGCAGGGCAACTGCTGAAGGCTTCCCAAATCCTCTCAAGCCCTCCAACATGAGCCCCAACTCCCAGTCAGCAAATCCCAGGGGTGGCTGTTCCCTTTCTGGAACAATCCGAGCCCTTTTAGCCCTTCTCCACGCTCCCAGCGCTGACCAAACCTTCCCCGAGGCAGCCCCAGAATAGCAGCTACGGGGAAATAAGCCTCAAAATCACAGTTTCCCTCCATCTCGTTTCACCATCAGCTGGGGGTAACGCTGTCCCCTGAAGGCCACCTCCCCGTGTCCCCCCGTCCCCACCTGGGTCGGGTAGCTGACGAACTGCAGCGCCGAGTTGCTGGAGACCATGGCGCCCAGGTAGGAGAGGGAGCAGGCGGCGTAGAGCCAGCTCCGCGTGCGATCCACTCTGACGGCATCGACAAACTGGATCACTGGAAGGAAGAGAAAGAGGAGGGAAGAAGTCAGGAGAGCTGCCGCCAGCCACCGCCACCACAAAGCGCCTGAAGGAAGCGGGATGGAGGGCACACTCAGCAAGTTCATCCACGACACCAAGGCTTGTGGAGCGGTTGACACCCTGGAGGGAAGGGATGCCACCTTGAGGGACCTGGGCAGGCTGGGGAGGTGGGACTCTCTGCCAACCTCCTGGAGTTCAACCAGGCCAAGTGCAAGGTCCTGCCCCTGGATTGGGGTGATCCCAAGCCCAAATCCAGGCCGGGCAGAGAAGGGATGGGGAGCAGCCCTGAGGAGGAGGAGGAGGAGTTGGAGGTGTTGGTGGATGAGAAGCTCCACACAAGCCAACAACGTGCGCTGGAGCCCAGGAACCCCCTCACACCCTGGGCTGCATCCCCAGCAGGGTGGGGGGGGGAATTCTACCCCTCTGCTCTGGGGAGACCCCCCCAGTGCTGCCTCCAGCTCTGGGGCCACCAACAGCAGAAGGACATGGAGCTGTTGGAGTGGGACCAGGGGAAGCCATGGAGATGCTGGGAGAGCTGGAGCCCCTCTGCTGGAAGGGGGGGCTGAGAGAGTTGGGGGGTTCAGCCTGGAGAAGAGGAGGCTCTGGGGAGACCTTATAGCAGCCTTCCAGTCCTCTGGGGAAGAACTTCTTTGCTGTGAGGGTGTGAGACCCTGGCCCAGGTTGCCCAGAGAAGCTGTGGCTTCAAGGGGTTCAAGGGCAGGTTGGAGGGGGCTTGGAGCAACCTGGTCTGGCGGGAGGTGTCCCTGCCCAGGGCAGGGGGTGGCACTGGGGGGGCTTTAAGGTCTCGTCCAACCCAAACCATTCTACACAAAACACCACCAGAAACACGAGGGGCAATCAACACCAACGCTCTGCTGTAAGGGGGGTGGCAGCTGTCCCCTCCGTGGGGCACAACCCCCTGTCCCCGGCCCCGACTCACGGATCTTGGCAAAGGCGGCGTTGATGACGCACTGGATGAAGACCAGGGTCAGGGCGTACTTGAACTTCTCCTGCTTCGCGCCTTCCCCGTACCGTCCCCGCGTGCTGCAGGGGGGACACGGTGAGACACCGGGCGGGACCCCCCCCTGGGAAGGCTCCCCCCTCCCGGTTCCCCCCGGGGCTCTCCCAACTCCCGGTTCCCCTCGGTGCCCTTCAGGGTCCCCCCAGTCCCAGCCTGGGGATCCTCCTCTCCCCGGGTCCGTTCCCCCCGGGGCTCTCACCCCTGTCCCCGCTCGGTCACTCCTGGGTCTTCCCTCCCCCCGGTTCTCCTTGTCCCCGGTTCCCCCCGGGGCTCTTCCCCGAGTTCTCCTCGGTGCCCTCTGGTGCTCCCCCTGTCACCGGTCACCCGGCTTCCCCCCTGTCCTCCGTCCCCCCCAGGGTTTCTCCCCCGACCCCGGGTTCCCCCCGGTCTCCCCTAGGGCTCCCTCCCCGGGCTCCCTCACCCCGGTTCCCCCCAGGCTCCCTCCCGTCACTCCCAGAGCTTCCTCACCCCGCTTCTCCCCGTCCCGGGGCTCTTCCCCGAATTTCCCCGGGTTCCCTTCGGTGCCCTGCAGGGCTCCCCCTGTCACCGGTCCCCCCCAGGGCTTCCCCCCGGATCCCGGTCACTCCCGGGGCTCCCTCGCCCCGCTCCTCCCCGTCCCCGGTTCCTCCCGTGGCTTTTGCCCGAATTCCCCCGGATTCCCCTCGGTGCCCTCTAGGGCTACCCCTGTCCCCGGTCCTCCAGGTTCCCCCCGGTCCCCGCCGGGGATTTCCCCGACCCCGGTCCCCCCCGTCCCGCCCGGTGCCCCGCTGACA